AGACCCAAGTTCAAGTTCTCGCCTCCTGGCTTCCCTCAAGGCCCAGCTAAAATCCCGTCTTCTCCTGGAAGCCTTTCTCATACTTCCTCATGGTAGCGCCTTCCCTCTGAGATTGCCTTCCTTTACCCAGTCCTTGCCTTGTTTGTACCTAGGTCTTTGCATGTTGTCTCCCCTAGTAGACTATGAGCTCCTTGAGGGCGGGAACTGTTTTTGCTTTTCCTTATATCCCCTGCGCTTAGCATGATCCTTGGCACACTGTAGAAGCTTAATAAATGTTTATTGCCTGACTGATTTCACCCCAGGCAATTCTCTGGGACTATACAAGGGTTCTTAACTTGGAGTTCATGAACTCCCAAGGGGTCTTTGGATAGATTCGGAGGAGTCGATAAACCTGAATGGGGAAAAAAAGGAATTATATACATATTTTCCACCCTTTGATTCTTTCATGATCCCATAGGCTTCACCAGTCTGCCAAAGAGGAGTCTGTGGCACACACACAAAAAAAAAGATTAGGAACCTCTGCTATAAGTTTTAGGGGTGTTGAATATTTTTTAGAAGAGGGAATTATACATCAGGAGCTCCTATGGCAATGAATCACAGTTCTAGTGCTGAAAAGAAATTAGAGCCTAGGTACTCCTGTTGTCGATCAGCCTAGTTTTGAAACAGAAAGAGGAAATGTGGTTTACCTCAAGTAGTCCTGAGTCAGTGCTCTTGACTTCAAATACTGAACTTCTAGATATGAGATGAATAGTCTGTTTGGCTACATTGGTCATTAATTTAGGTTGGGCCAACTTCTTGGGCTGATTTGCACATTGATCTGAGATTACTATTAAAAGGAGATTGCTGATTACTGATCTTCTGGAAGATCTTCTGATTACTGAGGCTTCTGAAAGAGAAACATAAAAAACCAAAGACCTAGAAAAGCGCAAGAACTGTCCTTACCTCTCTCCTCAACACACACTCTCACTTCCTGTTTTTTATCCCATTGGTAAAATTATTGGCTGAATCCCAGACGATTTTGTGTATTTCTATTTGTGTGACATGAGAAACAAGGAAGGGTACAGTTAGTTTGGTAAACATTAGACTGAGATTGTCAAAGTATGGAAACCCATTTGAAATTTGGAAGTAGGTATAGAACACCAGACCATCCATCTCTTAGAAGCAGAATCTTGTAGGTGACTCTAACTTAATTTTTCCCCTCGTTGTTTATTTATTTTTTTACATTTAAAAAATTTTAAGTGCCAAATTTTTACTCTCTTATGCCCCTTCCCCACCCATTGAGAATGCGAGCAGTAGGATGCCGGTTATACATGTGAAGTCATGCAAAACATATTTCTATATTAGCAATGTTGTAAAGAAAGAAAAAGACAAGAAAAACAGTGAAAAACAAAATATGCTTCAAGTCTGCACTCAGAGTTCATCAGTTCTATCTCTGAAGGTAGATAGCCTTTTTCATCATGAGTCCTAGTCCTTTGTAAAACTCCTGGGAGATCATTAAGGTGTGTATTAGTTTTTTCAAGTGTAGATGTTGAACCTACATGTTCATACTTGAATGAATTATAGGTGTCAACAAGGTTGGAGCTAGAAATATGGCAATATTTTGTTAATGAATTGAGCCTAGGTTGGAGAAAGTTTTGCTTTGATAAATTATCATTAGCTCAAAAGAAATCTCTCAAATTCAAGAAGTATAGGGTCTTCTTTAATGAGAACACCCTGTCTAGTATATTGCTTTACTAGGTTTTATCAACTTTGTGGAAAAGAAAGACATTTTATTTTAAAAAAACTGGTTTATAATAATAATAACAACATGTTTATATAGCCCAATGTCATGATTGATAATGTGCTTTCTTTAAAACAGCAAAGAGAGGTAGGGAATAAATGGAGCATTGTCCCCATTTTGTAAATGAGATAAGTCTTAGGCCAAAAGAAATTAAATGACTTGCCCATAGTACAGTGAATTATGGAGCTGGGGTTCAAACTCAGGTTTCTCTTGATTCCAGAGCTGGTGCTTTTTCCTCCATACCTGGAGTTTCCACATAAATTTTGTTAAGTGAACTTCACAATAATTCTAGGGCAGGGGTGGGGAGCCTGCAGCCTTGAGGCCACATGTGACCTTCTGGGTCCTTGGGAGGGGCCTTTTGACTGAATCCAAAGTTTTATGGAACACATCCTTTTGTTAAGGGAATTTGTTTCTGTGAAGTTTGGATTCTGCAAAGGGCCACACTTGAGGATCTAGAGGGCCACTTGTGGCCTCCCCACCCCTGCTCTAGGGTCTGTCTAATCTATCAAACCTTATCAGACCTCCTAATTCTGAATCCCATCCCGTCGTATCTAACCCTAAATGATTGGGCAGATGAAGATTTGCCTATTTTATTGATGAAGGAACTGAGGTACAAAGAGGTTGTGACTTTCTGTAGGTTATATGGTTAAGTGGTAAACTGGAACTAGAACCTAGTACTGTTGCAGTCTAGAGGTGCTAGGAACACCAAAAGGCAAGGGTACAGGGTGGAGGTCTGCCTCGAAAGAATTCGACCACTCAGCCCTTCTTTCATTATTATCACACTGGTTGGGTGGGCAAGATTACTAGTGAGTCTGCAGTATTTGTGACACCAATGTGAGAGGCCAGATTCTAAGTGAACCTGCTCATTTGATGAGGATGGGACTGATAACTTTTATGCAGAGACTGGGAAGATCTGGATGGGATGAAGGAGTGGCAAGTAGCCTGGGGTGATCTGGAGGTAACCAAGAAAGGGTCTAGATGGGATTGAGGAGTGGCAAGTAAACTAATTAAGTAATCTAGGTGGGCTAGGGTAGGCCAGATGCCTTTGTCGGAAGCACCTGTAATCTGGGCTGCTGAAATTTGTGGGAAAGTTCAAGGGCTTTTCCTTTCAGATCCCATCCTCCTCACTGCTACTGACTCTTAGTCTAGTTCTTACAGCTCTTCACAATCTACATTTGATTTTTTTAAAAAATAATTCTCTTTTTATTGAATGCATGAATAAATGAATACAAGGAGTCAATCACATACACTGATGCATGTTGAGGTGTAGATGGAATATTTGTGATTTATGAGTATAATTGAAGGGTCACTATGAAGACTTACTCTATGTCTAAATATTTTCCCATTATTTTCCCAATAGGCTGTTATAGTATCTAAAAATCCATCATTAGAAAGTCATTCTTGTAGCATATTTCTTTCTAAAATATAGATACCCTGGGGAGGCATGTCCTGTTGAGGTGTTATTCATTAAAACCTTAGAGTGGATAATTTGTTAAACTTGTTTTGGATAAGAATTTGAGTGAAATTCACTGCAGAAATAGGACATATGGCAGATGTGATTTCAAGATCAGGAGAGTATAAGCATGGTGTCCATAGCTAGGGCATTTCTACATTTGATTTTAAGCTACTTAAATTATTTCATAGAGACTCAAGAAATTTTCCAAGTCACCTGTAACCACTGCCCTCCGCCATCCCCCCCTTAAAAAACCTGTTTATGAAAAACAGTATTAAAGTTACTCAGGTTAATTGTCCTCTCAAGGTAATATCTTAATGCCACATACCTGGTATAGAAGATAAAAATGCCTTTAGCTGTAGTAGACTATTTCCTAATACCGCAGTCATTAATAATCAATGGATGGAGAAATTCAATTAAGGATGATGATGGTGCCCCAAGGAATATATGGAATTGAATCTCAAATTAATGATTATGAAAGGTCTAATAATGTTTTTAAGTGTGTGGTTTTTGTTTTTTGTTTCTTGTTTTTTGCACATGCTGAATAACTTTCTTCAGGTGTGATAAAAAAAATTAAGATTTTAAAAAGTATGTTTCTGGGGCAGCTAAGTGGTGCAGTGGATAGAGCACTGGCCCTTAAAGCAGGAGGACCTGAGTTCAAATCCAGCTTCTGACCAGACACTTGACATTTACTAGTTGGGCTAGTAACTTAACCCCAGTTGCCTAAAAGAAAAAAGTCACGTTTCTTATGCAGAGATTTCTTCCCTCCTGCCCCATTGGTGATGTATGTTGCTTTCTAAAGCAGAGGGTTTTGTGCTATAGTGTTGGCACTCCTTTTTAACCTTTTTATTGGATATCTTTTGTTTTTACATCATCTTCATTTCCAGATATGCTTCCCCCCCCCACTCAGAGAATCATCCCTAGGGGGACAATAATCTAAAAGAACAAGGGGGGGGGGAGGAAGTTAAGCAAAACTAACCTCTACATCAATAAATGCAATATTCCATTGATTGTAGACTCCCCTAGAGCAGGGATAGTCTTTGACCTTTTTTTGTTTCCCCAGTGCATAACAGAGTGCCTGACTTACAGATGGTGTTTAATACATGCTTCTCGACTTGGCCTTCATACCCAAAATCCCCTTTCTGTACAAAAATGAGAGAAGAGAATTTCTCATCTCTTCTTTAGGTCCAGATTTGGTCATTATATTAATGTGTTTAATTTTTCCCCCTAGTTACAGTGTTAGTCATTATGTATGTTATCTTCCTGATTCTACTTTGTTCTCTCTGTGAGTTTATGTAAGTCTTCCTGTTCTCTTGATTCTTCATATTCGTATTTTCTTACATTGCAGTAATACTCCTTTACATTTGTATAATAATTTGTTTAACCATTTCCTATTTGATGGGCATCTATTTTGTTTCCAGTTTTTTGCTACTTCAGAAAGTGCTGCTTTAAATATTTTGATGTGTGTAGGACCATTCTGACTTTGATTTCCTTCAGGTATATATATGTGCCCAGCAGTGGGATCTCTAGCAGCACTTTTTGTATGGACATGTTATTTATTTTTTCAGCATGATTTCATATCATTTTCCAGTGTGGTTGGAACCATTCCCAATTTCACCAACACCTACAATTTTCATGTTTGCTATTTTGTTGGACATGAAGTGAAACCTCAGAGATGTTTTGATTTACATTCTTCTTATTCGTGATTTGGAGTAATCTTTCATATGGTTATTATTTTGTGATTTTTCTGTTAGAGTTTTTTGTTTATATCCTTTGACCACTTACCATTGGGGAATGGATGCTTTATAGAGATACAAGTTCTTGTTTCTTAGGGATTTGAGTGAAACTATATCCTTGTCATCACAAAGTTAGCATTCATTTCTTTTGTAAAGCACTTTCTGAAATATTTTACTTTTTTCTCCCCTTTAGCCCCAAAGCATGGAGCCACAGGTTAATCTCAATGTGACTTTTAAAAATGAAACACAAAGCTTCCTGGTTTCAGACTCAGAAAATACAACGTGGGCTGATGTGGAAGCAATGGTGAGTGATTTTATTTTTCTTCCCCTTTACCTAAATGAAAGTTTTTCCAAAGACAGTTATTTTTAATAGTGCAACTTCATAGGTTTTAAAAGTTGTTATATTTACCAATTTTAGCCATTATGAAAAAATTTCTTTGAAAGTAGGTCACTGCTTCCTTTTCTTATATTAAATGTTTTAGTTGGGAATTAGAAAGTGGATTCTTTTTAAAAAGAGCTGCTTTGAAGAATAATAGTTACTTTGGAGACAGAAGGTTTTGTGAGTGTTTTTTTTTATAATATGGGAGGGATTTGGAGAACTTCTAAAAGATTTTTGAAAATGAACAGTATGTGGAATGAATTGGTATAGATTTTATCTTGCTTATGCTCTGGTAGAATGTTCCTATGCATTAGAGTAGATATGTCAGTATTCATTGTGAACTTTGTAAGAACTGATCAATTACTTTATTGCTAAGTCATAGGTGACTTGTTCCAAAGTTGAAAAGGAATATCCCTACCTGTAGTGCTTAAGTGGTAGGCCACCTGCTCTTTTCTGTTTGATAGTGCTTTTCCCATTCTTGGTTTGACCTTTGTACTTACCATGTTTGTCTGGGTTTCAGGAGTAAATGTTTACTTCCTGTGTAGCAGAGTTTATCTAACAGGAACCTTTGCTTAATTCAGATTCAACTTTTGAGCATAGTATCATAAAGAGTCACCTTAAAAGAATCATAAAGCTGTAAAAGACCTTCATAGATCATGTAATCCAGCCCCTTTCTTTCAGCAGGTAATTGTGTTAAAATAGTTACCTGAAGAGGTGATTGCCTAGAAATTGGATCTTGTTTTCTTGTTTTTCTGAAATGTGATGTTTCTTGTTTTTCTTGTAATAGATAAAGTTGAAAGTTATTTTGATTCTCAAATTGCATAATGTGTGTGTTCTCACTTGCAGGTAAAAGTTTCATTTGATCTGAACACCATTCAGATAAAATACCTAGATGAGGATAGTGAAGAGGTAAAGTATATTATAGTACCTATTGCTGATTTTATTAGACAGTGATTTTATCTTATTTCTCAGAAAGTAAAACAGGGCTCAACAGCTTCAGAAAATAGCGTGTAGTTTGGGTGAAGTGCTGATTGATAACGGGTATCCATGAGTAGGGACTTGGGGAAAATGACATAGGGTTGGGACACAGAGAAGGAAGGAAAATGAAAAAAGAAAAATTAATATAGCTACTGCTTTATATTCTGCTAAGTTGTCTTAATCCTAAATACATAAGCAGATAGGGGAAAAGTGGTATGGAAATAAGCATATATAAAGAGTGCCTACTATATACAAAGCACTGTTCTAAATTCTTGACATTATTTCATTTGTTCCTCACAGCAAGCCTCAGGGTAGATGCTGTTATTGTTCCCATTTTATAGTTGAGGAAACTGAAGCAAACAGGTTAAGTGACTTTCCCAGGGTCACACAGTAAGTGCCTGAAGCTGGATTTGAACTCAGATCTTCCTAACTGCAAGCTCAGAGCTCTATTTCCTGTACCACTTACCTGCCTCTAACTGACATTGTCTATAAATTCACACATAAATGAACGAAAGGCTAGAGTGTGGGGAAATATTGTTGTTGCTCTGTTGTTTAAGTCATGTCTGACTCTCTGTGACCTCATTTGGGGTTTTTTTGGCAAAGATACTGGAGTGGTTTGCTATTTCCTTCTCCAGCAATGAGCTGTTAAATGATTATAGATGCGGAAACTGGGACAAAAAGGGTTAAGTGATTTGCCCAGGGTCACATAACTAGCAAGTGTTTGAAGCTAGATTTGAACTCAGGAACATGAGTCTTGCTGACTTCAGGCCAGGTATTCCATCTGTTGCACCACCTACCTTCCCAGGGGAAATTGGAGTCACTAAAATTTTGCCTTTGTATTATGTGGTCATTGGTAACAATATAAAATGCTCAATTAATGATACATTTCTATTATGTTGTTCTTTCTCTTTTATAGGTGTCCATCAATAGCCAAGGTGAGTCTTGTCTTTTACTATTTGGGTAAACTATTATGTTCATCAGTCCATACCTGGGAGACCTGGTTGTGGGGAAGATTATTGGTTTACATGTTTTCATTAGTACTGGAGCCTTGCTACAGCATTACTCAGTACAAAAATATGGGGGTGTGTGTGTGTGCCTGAAAAAATCAAATTGATTCTATTTTGAAATTGATTCTATTCTGTACCAACCACTGTCATTTTGTATAACTGCTTAAATCACATTTCTTGTATCCAAGTTAAGTTCAGAAGTTTGTAAGTTCAGAAGTTCAACCTCCCTTGCAGAGTTAAGTTTAAAAGTTCAATTTCCCTATAAATCATTTTAATTAAAAGAAACCTCTATACCAGCTGTTCTTGACCAATTAGAGGAAATCTTTTATTGCAGGTGGATTAAATCAATCAGAATTTCCTGGAGATGAGATGGAAGGGAGGGGTTGTTAGCCCTGCCTTCTCTATTTCCATTCAGTCATCATATCTGATGTTTCAGGTTTTGTAACCGATCGTATTGTTTTTTTCATCTATGATGCTGCTTTCGACTTTCTTGGATGCTTCTCCTTTTGTTTGTAAAAATGATGCATCAGCCTTCATTTGAGGCCTCTTAGCTTGTTGAGGAACTCAAAACCCCTTTTTAATTGGTAACTGCTAACTTTACCAGTAAATTGAATGTGCTCAGAACTTTGTTGCCTCAGTTTGCCTTAATTTCAGTTGCGACAAGGGGCAGCTAGGTGGTGTAGTGGACAGAGCACTAGCCCTGGAGTCAGGAGGACCTGAGTTCAAATGTGGCCTCAGACCAAACACTTGACACTTACTAGCTATGTGACCCTGGGCAAGTCACTTAACCCCATTGCCTACCCCCCCCAAAAGAAAAAAAAAAAGAACTTAGAATTTCAGTTGTGAGAGAGAGAAAGTAAATTCATCTTGGATCTAATCCAAGCACATTGGGTTACTGAGAGGACCTCATCTGTTATTTGAATTTACAAAGTAGGCACCTAGCATGAATTCAGAGGTTATACATGGATAGGTTCTAGTGTGTGTGTGTGTGTGTGTGTGTGTGTTATAGAATTTTAAGAATACTGGGCCTACTGATTTGTAATACATTGAATTATTGCTCTAATGATGTCATATAATCTTGACTTGATACATAGGCAGTCCCCAAGTTTTCAACAATAAAAGCACCAAACTGGAACTTAGAATTAATTTCCCCATGAAAACAATGTGAATAATGATTAGGTTTCCAGATCACCCCATGAAAGCCTATTTAACTCTTAATGTAGCTAAAATGATAACCCTGAGCCTCTTTGATCCCTGAACCGCCTGACCTTCTCTGAGCTTTAGGAAGGGGTAAAGAAGTCTGGGTGGTTAAGGAGTTTTGATAACTGCCTTTCAGAATCATGAAGGTAGTGGGGCAAGGAAGGGGTCACAGCAGATGGCCAGCTTCTACTATATTCTTGTGTATAGGTTTTTGAGAAGTTAAATGTTCTTATTTCAAGGACTACTTATGCTTTCTAAAATCTTATTTTGAGTTGTTGTATAAATACTCATGTGTATTTCTTTTTATGTTGTAGGAGAATATGAAGAAGCCCTTAAGGTATCACTCTCATTTTCAAAGAACTTTTTAAACATGTATATATTGATTAGAAAATCGGACCTGAATTTCCAAATTCACTGAGAAGAGTGCATGTCTAGGTATATAGTGAAATTTGTTTATGGAGACTCCAATGAAGAGGGCCACCCACAACATAGAGGATTCCCCAGTTGGGTTCACTATTGTGTTGCTGATCTTGGGTTAATGTTTTGCTACTGCCACTCAAGAAACTAAAAAAGAAAATTTTTTCCTCCAGAAACTTTGCTCCCTTAGTCACATAAGATCTTTTTTCACTTTGTTTCCTCCCACTCATGCTTAGTCAATTTCAGTATACTATAAACTTTTCTCAAGTGTGGAGGAAATGTAGCTTGAAACTGTACACAGTTGAAGTGAATAACAAGTATAGTCTCATTTTGCCCAGCACAAATTTAGAGAATTGGGGAGGTTTTTTCCTGTTTTCTCTTTTCCCTTTCTGATCCATAGACCCTTTTCTAGACCTTATACCTTGGGGATTATCTGTCTTTTGGATAGTTCTTCCTTTCCATTTTCCAGTCCAAGTTTTAGTTATTTCTTTCGTGAGATTAAGAGCTGGAAATAACCATGTGACACCCCTTTGGTCTTAGAAGGAGCAAGATTCTTTCCTATGTGAGCCTCAGGCCTATCGTTTCTGGCTTTTGGGCAGAAATACTATCTAGATAGCTATATACCTCACCAGCTCAACCAGTTGCCCCTCAGTTCTGTCCCTAAGAATCCTTGTTTAAACTTTTTCTTGGTTGTAGGTATTCTGACCTTTTCCTAAGTTTCCCTGTTCAGTACTTCTGAGTTGTGGAAGGTCAGTCTTTAGAATCTAGAAGTTTCTCCATATGAGTAGGTGTGCTTTCTTTTATCAGACAATGACTGTGTAATCTAGTTTGTTTCCTCCTTTGCCTTAGCTGCCAGAAAGTTCAGAGCTACTGTAAATTCAGTGATCAACTTCCTCATACTAGGTGCTTTGTATATCTGTTTTTTTAACTCCATCTTAGTTAGGTCATATTGTCTGATTTTATATGTGTATTCATTTTGCTTGCTGGCGTAAGTCCTTTTTGGAAGTATAAATCATAAAATAAATTAATTCTTTCTTGCCCTCACTTTTACTTGTTATTCCAAGAAGTTCCCTTAATCTTTTAATCTTGATCAACTCGTCTTGGCCTTCTTCCTACCTTCTCTTGATTTGAAAACCAGATCTAAAGCCTTTATGGTTGTCTCCTTTGTTCATTGCCAACAATATTAGCTCCCCTGGCCCAGCTTGGAGGTCCTAGCTACAGGGTTTCACAACTAACATGTTAGTGTGTTAAAGGTAATAACCATCTGGACTTGAGAATTCCTGCATTTCATTCTTTTACAACTATGTAGGACCAACTGTGAGAGCAGTTATCAAATCATCGTGATCATTTCTGTTAGTTTAGCTTTTAGAGTCCTTCACAACCTGGCCCCAACCTATCTTTCCAGTCTCACTGTGGGTCACTCCCCCCTTGATGATCCAGCCCAACTGGCTTTCTCTCGGTTCCTCATGCTCTCCATCCCCTGTGCTTGGAATGCCCTTCCTCCCTCCCCTCTGCCTCGCAGAATCCCTCTGTTCCCTCAAGATGTAGCTCAAATACTGTTTTGTACATGAAGCTTTTCTGGATCCCTTCTCCCAACCGCTAGTGCCCTTCCTCTCAGACTACCTTGTATTTAAATACTTTCTATTTATTTGTATTTATTCTCTTTAGTTATATATGTAGTTCTTTCTCACTTTAGAATATAAACTTGCAAATTGAGGTTGTTTCATTTTATTTGTATCACCTTTGTCTTGCACAATGCCTGACACACATTGTAGGCCTCTGATACATACATATCAAGTGATTGACATGTCCATCAGTTTCCTTATAGGTCTACCTACCATTTCTATGACTTCCCAGCTTTATATACAGGTTTAAGACCACCACTCCTCTTTATGTGTTGCCTTCCCATACTAGAATGTAATCTTTGAGGGCAGGGACTGACTTTTTTATTTTTATTTTTATTCCATTTGTATACTCATTGCTTAGAAGTGTATCTGGAAAAAAAAAAAAGAAGTGTACCTGGCACATTGTGAGCTCTTAATTAATGCTTTTTCATTCATTAAGCTCCTATATTTATACCTCAACAGTAAAGGTAACCGGTCAATCTATTGTTACTACTTCAGGCTTTTTTTTTTTTATGGACATCTAAGCATTTAACTGAAAAGTATCCTTTTTTGTCATATGGTTATCTAATATAGTTTTAATTCAGTTTCTACAAAATCTCACATAACCATGATGTAATAGAAAGTTTTAGACTTTAGTGGGGCAGTCTGGATATTCTGGCTCCAATATTTCCAGTATTATTAGTATCCCTTGAGTAAGAAAATGCTTAGTAACAAAAAGCTGCTAAATTCAGTAATGCATTTAAATTTGTTTATATTTAATCTAGCAGTATGATATCATATACATTTTTTAACATTAGTACATCTATTAATGAGTCATTCAATCTACTGAAGGTATGTTTATTGATTATTCTGAATCATTTCATGAGATGAACCTTTTACAGTAACTCCAAGGGATGCCTACCCTGGTGTCCAGAACCCATAGAAAGGGAACCATTGATCTCTAATATAGTTTTTTAAAATAATAT